GCGATGACCCTCGTAAAGCGTACAGATCCCATCCGTTCCAATGATGCATATCGCGCACTTCCCGGAGGCGGGCGAGCAACTCAAACCTAGCAAGCCCAGGGCTGCATTCTTCCCACGCCCTGGTTGTTTCGCTCGACTTTTCTGTGTTGACTCTCAGTAGGCGCTACGAAGTCGCAGTAGTACGAGCTGCTTGTCCGTCGCGCTTGACGTATTGACTTCCGTCCTACTATCTTGTCAGTTTTGCTGCGCCACAGCATTTTATCCTTTTAATCGCCACGTGACGAGCGCTTGGTCTAGTAAAGCATTCTTCTCCGTTTCTAGCAGAACCTTGGCTCGGCATGGCCACTCGGCGTGGTCGTTCTGCTGCTAGTGATGCCGCCTCGACACCGACTAGAAGTACCGTCGATGCCACTGATCAGGTGGAAGAGGTCGCACCAACTCCAGAAACCGAGCCCATTTTTATTAAAATCGTCAGCGATAAAGGGGAGGAGGTGCAGTATAAGGTGAAAAAAGGCGCTCGGATGCAGAAAGTATTTGACGCGTACGAAAAAAAGGTCGGTGCTACACCTGGTTCTCTGATCTTCACATTCCATGGCAAGCGCGCGCAAGGGAAGGACACGGTGGAAGTGATTGGACTGAAGAATAACTCCGTTTTGGAAGCGAATCAGTTAAAAATCGCAGGCTAATGTAGAGGCCCCACTCCGTCAGATCCTCGGGGTGCGGTATCTTGCAAGTTGTGTCCTGGGTCCTGATCGTGCCAGGATAAGGTAGCTACGGTAGTTAGGGTTGAGGTTTTCCCTGATCTCCTTTTATTTCTGCTAATATTGCTCAGGGTAACCTGTTCTTAGTTTGCCCAAGAAAGATGGACGCTATAAGTGTGTCCAGGGCTTGCAATAGCTGACAGCCATGTTGTGGCAGGTGTACTGATTTTGCTTCACTTACCCTAGTTCAGTGAGACTGGTTTTCATGTTGGCACTGGTACTACCGTACTAAACCAGAAAACTATGTTTTGATTAGAGGTAGTATGGTGAAAACACTGAGACATGTTTTGAGAGTGGTTTAATGTGTGTGTGCAGCATTATTTCAAGGTGGGCCCACCCACCCATACCACACCAAGGTAGCAAACAAATTGGCACATATGTACGATATCACTGAATCAGAGTCATCTCATCCCCCTAAAGAGGCTGATACCGTAATGGTCTTCAAGGAGAAAGGCTGAAGAAGGAGCTGAACCAACATACCGGTACAGTAGGGCTGAAAAATCAAACCATGAAGGGAGGCCCAGCCCAGCACGCAGTACCAGGTACCTATGCTGCTACGCTGAGAGAGCATGCATGGTACTACTCTATAATGCCGCTTTGCTTTTGGTGGAGCCTCTTGTTCTCAATCCCCTTCCCACTACCTCTCCTCTGCTCTTTCCCACCAGCCCCCCCATTTACGGTAGCTCTCGTCCACCCCCCTCTCCTCCCACTTGTCTCACCAGTTCCGGAACCTTCCCATGCCACTCCCATACGCACATGCGCCTGTCTGCATCATAATGCCACATGTCATTTGCCAAAAACCGCCTCATCTTCTCCTCCCTCCCAGATATCCAGTTATTATGCAGAATGGAGCACCCCACCTTTGCACACGCCCTGTGAACATTTTTCTGCTCCCACAACCCATGAACTGCCCCGTTAGGGTACCTAGCTCTGTCTAAAAACACCGTTCTCAGCCCGTTTTTCCACACGCACTCCTCCCTCCCTGCGGCTACTAGCTCGCCTGCCTCCCCACAGAGAACATCATAGAAGCTTGGCTGTTCGGACAATTTCGTTGCTGCTGCGTGCGCAGTGATCGCCTCAAACGCCTCGATTGTTTTCCGGTCTGCTCGGGCGAAATAAAACCCCGAGTTGATCCTCCGAACGCCAGTTCCGGGCAGATTCGCGTCCGGCTCGTTGCTCTGGATCGGGAGCGTTCCCGGGCCGAACGAGAGCAGGTCCGGGAGAGGATCGGTGAACCAGACGATGTCGACGTCGGTCCAGAGAACAGAGTAGCCGGCGTTGAGGACTTTGAGCACGGAGCGAGACTTGAGCTTGGTGAAGTGGCGGAAGCACTGGCTACCATAACCACACTCTGAGGCACGCATGTGCTTCACCTCCTCACTTGCCTGCTCATAGTACACAGGCAGGCCCTGCGTGAAGGCGAATCGGTACAAGTCCTCGTCAAGCGCGGCAATGAGGAGGTTGGAGGCGAGGCCGAGGGAGCGCAGGCGGCACACGAAGCTCATCAGCATCTCCGCGTACCCCGCGGTTACCGCCACTAGGGTTACCACCTGTAGCTCCCCCCCCCGCCCGTCCGGGACCTTGCGGGCTAGTACTGGTAGGAGCTGCTCCATGGTGTGAGGGAGACCCACAGGGGAGGAGGATGGGGAGGAGGCAGAGGAGGAGTTGGTTGAAGCTCCTGAATCACTGCTGTTGCTGCTTCTGCTGCTGCCACTGCCGTTACCACTGCCGTTACCACTGCTGTTACCACCCGTGCTGGAATTGGAAGAGTCAAGAGCGCTGTGCGGGATGGCGTGGATGGTGTAGTCGGTGGCGTTGGCAGGGGCGACGGAGCCGCACGTCCACTGGTTCGTCTTGGCGTTCATGCGGGGGTCCGTCTGAGAGGCGGCCACCGAGGAGGAGTATTCGCAGGAACAGGCTGCAGGACGAAGGCGGCGCTGCAGACACAGGAAGTTGGCTGGGGGGGAGGCGGGGGAGGGGAGGCAAGGGGGAAAGGGATGTCAGGGGTAAGAGTTCAGGCGGGGTTCCGTCTGAGAGGCAGCGACGGATGAGGAGTACTCGCAGGAGCACGCTGCCGGGCGCAGGCGGCGCTGCAGACAGAGGAAGTTGGCTGGGGGGAGGCGGGGGAAGGGGGGGAAAGGGCAGGGAAGGCAAGGGGGGAAGGGGCACCAGGAAAGAGATTTCAAGGGGGTTTCCGTCTGAGAGGTGGCAACAGCGGAGGAGATGAGCTCAATGTACTGAAACTGATATATCCACAAAAAGGAGTAATATACTCACCCGAAGCTTCAAGGCAGTTCATCAGCTTGATAGGCACGTGCAGAGGTGTCCCTTTCTGATTGGCGTACGTCCCGTGTGTATGCGCCAGGTGGATATTCGCGAACAGCTCCCAGCTACTGTTCATCCTCGTGCTCCAGAAGCTCTTCCCCGCCAATCCCGCCGCGTTTTTCGTGAACGCCGACTCCATCACGTGCGAATAGGAGTGCGCCACGTGTACGGCTGTAACGGCCTCGCTGGCGTCGACGATTTCACGGAGCCCCGACGAGATGATCTCGTGCGTCAGCCAGTTGTCATACTTGCCGCGGCCGTACGAGAACGGCGGTACGGTTCCTCTCACCAGAGGAACCGGCCTACGGTCGTCGTTGTTCCACGCCCAGAAGTCGACCCCGCCGTACGTGTGCAGCGTCCCGTGCGTACGTACGAACTCGCGAATTGTCGTTTCATGTTCCCGGTGCCCGCGCCCCGCCCACATCTCCCGCTCGAACGAGTACGGAAACTCCTCGGGCATGTCCCACCGCGCCGCGGTCATCACCCAGTGGCGAAAGTTCTCGTGAACCTTCCGCATCGCAGCCATGACGTCATTCATGAGAATAATATCCGCGTTGATCACCATCGAGACGGGCGTGTCCGCGGCTTGAGCGCGCGCGACCACGCTGTGAACCTGCGGCACGCCGTAAAAATTCGTATCGATGGCCGATTCGACCGCGACGTGCGCGGGAAACTGCCGCGCGAGCGCGCGGAAAGAGGAGTCGTTCCCCAGCAGAACGATCTTGGGGGACGGGCGGAGGCGCAGCCACGAGAGCAGCGCGCGCCGCTGCGGGTCCGCGTGCGGGGAGGACGGATCGAGGATGGACGTGTAGGGCTTGGGCGCGGTGAAGATGGTGAGGAAAGGGCGCTGCCGCTGCTGCTCTTGCTGCTGCGCTTGCCGCTGTTGAATGTGCTTGATTTGAGAGTGCTTGTTCACCGCGGCGGTGGCGACAGGAAGGAGGAAAGTGATTAGCACCGACAGCAAGGGTGACTGCTGCTAGGAGTAAGAAGTTATGGGGCGCGTTTCCGCCCATTTTGAATGCTGCTTACTGCCCTTTTTTCAGGAATGATTTAATGCTGCAGAAGGGACGGAAGGAAGCGACCGTGCAGCTTGCGCTTCGAATTCCGTAGAAGGAGGTTATGGACAGCAGCCTTCTGTGCGGCGAGTTATTACCACTTATGATGTCGATTGACAGAGGTTAAATTTCTGACAGGGACCGACGAATGTGAGAATGTGGATACTCGGAGGTACTTATTGGGCTCCAGTATGGGATAAGGATAGCCAGAATGACTCATGACTCATGTGTCACCTAATAGAGGGGCAAGCAGCATTCCAGTTAGACGGCGGGGAGTAAAGCATTGCACGAGGCGCGATCCGAAAGGTGTGGGATAAGCTCAACGAAAATCTGATGACGACAACGAGTAACGAATATATGCGAAGGTTGCGAACTAGAAAGCAAATATTTCCACTAACAACTCTGCTCCACGATGTCTCTGCGTGGCTTTACCACCATCGTTACGAGAACTTCGCTGCTTGTGGTTACTTGGCGAAAGTTTAAGGTCAAGATAACGCAGCTGGTCATGTTGGCGTTGCTATGGGCATCGTGTTTGCGTGTGGTGGGCAGGCTGGCTGTGCCTGGCAGCACCAATCACAGTGTGCGAAATCAGCGAAAAGTGTTTCGTCCAACCTGACCACGCTGCCTGATGGCATCCATAGGCGGAGTGAGGCAAACCTGGGCAGGCCATTCTCACCCACACCGTTTTGTAAGCAGCCCCGATACGCTGAAGAGCTCAAAAGCCTTCTGTAAGTGTCAACCTAGAATTTCGGTTAAAATGGTCGTAGTACAACAGGAGGACCTAGGTAATGCTAATATACAAATCCACAAATACCTTACAACAGGACCTGGCTGATTGTATCACAGCTTGCTTATTTCATAGCTGAGATTCTGCTCCCTGTGCCTTCTCTTTGAGGTGCGCCGCTATGCCATCTCCACATGCACATTCTCTTCTCAGCGTCATAGTGCCAGAACGAGTTCAACGCAAACCGCTGCTTCTTGGCATCCTTGCCTGCAATCCAGTTGTTGTGAAGAATAGTGCACCCCTTTCTCCTGCAAGCCCCCTCCACATCCTCCTCATCCCAAAACCCATGCGCTGCACCATTCGCATAAACCACTCTATCAAGGAAGATAGTGCGAAGCCCGTTTTCCCACACGCACTCCTCCTTCCCCTCCACAACATTCTCGCCCTTCACCCCGCACAGAATATCATAAAAGCTCGGCTGTTCTGACAATCTCGTAGTAGCTGCATGCGCAGTGATCGCCTCAAACGCCGCCACCGTCTTTTTATCCGCCCGAGCAAAGTAAAACCCAGAGTTGATCCGCCGAATGCCCGTCCCAGGCAGAGTCACGTTCGGCTCATTGCTCTGGATTGGAAAAGTCCCCGGGCCATACGAGAGCAGGTCTGGGAGAGGGTCGGTGAACCAGACAATGTCCACATCGGTCCAGAGCACAGAATACCCCGCCTTGAGCACCCGAAGCACAGCCCGGGATTTCAGCTTAGTGAACTGCCTGAAGCACTGGCTGCCAAAGGCACAGTCCTTTGAATCCACCCCCTTCAGCCGTTGGCTGACTTGCTCATAGTACACGGGCAGGCCCTGCGTGAAGGCGAATCGGTACAAGTCCTCATCAAGCGCGGCAACGAGGAGGTTGGAAGCGAGGCCGAGGGAGCGCAGGCGGCACACGAAGCTCATCAGCATCTCCGCGTACCCCGCAGTTACCGCCACTAGGGTTACCACCTGCAGCTCTCCCCCCCGCCCATCGGGTACGCTCCGAGCGATTGTGGGCAATAGCTGTTCCATGGTGTGTGGGAGGCCTACAGGGGAGGAGGCGGGTGAAGGAGGAGGAAGAGTGGGGATACTGTAATCCGAATTCCTGTCCACTGACACGCTGCCACATGTCCATTTCCTGCCCGTTTTATCCAGCTTCGGGTCTGTCTGGCTGGACCGGACGAAATTCGCGGATTCGCAGGTACAAGTGGCGGGGCGAAGGCGCTGCTGCAGGCACATGTTGTGCACTGAGGGCTCGTGACACGTGGCGAGCTTCCAGGGCACGTGCAGCGCGGTGCCCTTCTGATTGGCGTAGGAACCATGTGTCATGGCCATGTGGATGTTACCGAACAGCTCCCAGCTGCTCTTCTTCCGCGTGCTCCAAAAGTTTTTCCCTGCTGCTATTCCGTTAACGTTTCCGTTACCAATGCTCTTGGTCGCGGCTGATTCTACCACGTGCGAGTAAGAATGCGCCACGTGGATCGCCGTAACTGCCTCGCTGGCGTCGACCATGGTCCGCCGCCCAGCCGCCACGATCTCGTGCGTGAACCAGTTGTCGTACTTCCCGCGCCCGAACGAAAAAGGCGGCATAACCCCGTCGAATAGCGGCGCAGGAGAGTCATTGTTCCACGCCCAGAAATCCACCCCGCCGTACGTGTGCAGCGTGCCTACATCGCGTACAAATTCGCGGATTTCCTCCTCCATCGCCGCGTGGCTGCGCCCGCGAGCCAGCCCCCGCTGCCCCCACATCTGCGGCTCGAAGGAGTACGGGAAATCTTCCGGCATATCCCACCGCGCCGCGGTCATCACCCAGTGCTGGAAGGTTCCGTGCGTCTTCTGCAACGCGAGCATGACGTCATTCAGGAGGATGATGTCACCGTTGATGATCATCGAGATGTCGGTCGCTGCGGCCTGCGCGCGCGCCACCATGCTGTGAAACTGCGGCACGCCGTAGAAGTTGCTGTCGATCAGCGGCTCGACGGAGATTTGCGCGGGAAACCGACGCGCTAGCTCGTGAAACGACGTGTCGTTTCCGAAAAGGACGACTTTTGGAGGCGGGGAGAGGCGCAGCCAGGAGAGCAAAGCGCGCCGCTGCGAGTCGGGGTTAGGGTCTGAGGGATCCACGATCGACGAGTAGGGTTTCGGAGCGCAGAAGATGGTGAGCGACGGCGCCTCAAACTGATCGCTCGGATCTCTGAACTTGTCGCCATGCGACTGAAAGCGATCGCTGGACGACTCAGAGCGATCGCTCGCCACGTCGTCGAAGCCGCTCTGGATGAGACTGCCCCGCGAGATACCGTTTGCGATCGCGAACGACGTCACCGGACCGCCGTTTAGATTCCGTCGAGTGTCTGCTCCCATGCCGGCAGAATTGACGGAACTGACGGAATCGGCGGAATAGTCGCTAGAGGAGCCTTTCTTGAAGATGACGGAGTGGCTTCGGTCGGCGAGAAGCGCGCCGTCGCGAAGGATTCGCTCGCGTGGGGTGAGTCGACGATCGCTTAGGGAGGAAAAGGAGGACGGGAGGGAAGCGCAGAAGAAAATGAGAAGGTAGAGGAGAGCAAAGGCGCGGGTATTCTGCGCCATCGTTACTCAACGTGGTGCGCTAGTGAGAGGCGCGAGGAGAATGAAAGTTAGAATTCAGTCTATCTGTGCAAATCTAGTTGCGGGAGGAGATTAATATGGCAGGGGCTACGATCACTGGGAGACGGTATGAATTCGGCACAGGCGTCAGCTAAGAGGTGTTTCCCCGTCCAGGTTTTAGTAGCCTTCTATAAGCGTTTCCCCAGCTGTTTCTGCAGGAATAAACACGTAAAGGCTTTGAAAACTGACGAGGATGACGCCTGAAGCCTGAATAAAATTGCTGTGGGGCAATGCTCGTCCCGTCCGGTGCATGGCGCTGCTGAGCCACCATGTGGTGGAGATCAACTGATCTGAAAAGGAATCTGCGACTCGGAAAGGCAAGCTGGCGGTAACCACAGGTGGGCCGTTGATTGAGATGTGGACATTCGTTTGTAACTCTCGCTTGAGCGAGTATCAGGTGGTGTCGTAAAGGCTCGCAAATGTCGTTCGTGCGGCTCTTTCCTCCAGTTTTGAGAGATGCGCAGTCACGAAACTCACATGCGCCTCGGTAAATTCAACCAATCGAATTTCGCCAGAACAAGAAGACAAGTTTCCCTGACTTGTCTAAATCCAGAACCAGTTCGGTTGGCTACACTCTTCTCCACAAACAATGGAGTCGCAACCAATGCTGTTTCGAAGCAAAACCGTCATGCAGGTTGGGCTGCTGTCGCCAACACAAGCGGCTTGAAGTCTAACGTCATTTCCTGGACGTCGATTGGTCTGACCGTCGTCAACCTGCTAGTTCACGACTCCTGTCGCCAACGGCGAATGACCAAGTGCCCACCTCGCCCCTGTCGGTTGTGCCAGTCTGTATGTACGTACAGTACACAACCCTTGAATCAACTGCCAATGTAGAGTGTACGTACGTGTATGTTATGTTGGTGCCGTATCCACAGTTTTTCTCGCAAAACCGAACAAGACAGTTCAACAATTTGGTTCCACCGACCATCTCCAACCAACTTCGACATACACGAAGTCTGCTGTTTCGATAAGCAAGTTGTCAGCCTTGTATCTAGAATGTGTAAATTTACATGGAATATAATCAGTGACAAGAATCATAAAATACTGTGAATAATATGGGCTCCAGATTAATTTTAATATTTTAAAATGATTTTTATATATTATCTGTTACAAAATAATACCATGTCGGGCTTTCCAAGCCTAACGGCGACGTCCGGCCGGTGGCGATCGGGGAGGTGCTTCCTCGTATCCTTGCTCGAGCTCTCTGCATCTCGCTCCGCCCTGCGATGGTTTCCTACTTCCTGCCGTGCAACCAGCTGGGAGCGGGCACCAGGGGCGGGGCGGAGATTCTCACTCATTCTTTTCGGTCAGCGCTGTCCACTCACCTCGACTGGTATGCGCTACAGATTGACGTCGCAAACGCCTTCAATTCGTTTCACCGTCATGTGATGTTCGATGGGCTGCGGGAGTCGCCTTTCTCAGGGATGATCCCATTCTTGCGTGTTTTTTATGGGACACCTAGCGACCTGTACCTCCGAGCAGGCCCTTTCGTACAGAGCCTCGAGTCAGCACGGGGATCGAGGCAGGGGGACCCGCTCGGCCCTTTTCTTTTCGCGTTCACGCAGCAGCAGGTGATGGAGTCGGTTACTAGGGAGTTCAAGGACCTGCTTTTCCTCAGCTATGCAGACGATACCTATATTTTGGGGCCAGCGGCTAGGATTCTGGAGGCTTTTGGGGTGCTGCGGGAGCGGTTGGAGTGGGTGGGGCTGGAGGTGCAGGCACACAAGTGCCGGTTTTGGGAGCGCGAGGGCAAGGAGGTGGAGCGGGCACTGCCATTGGGGATGCAGCGGGTGGATGAGGGTCTTACTGTGGTGGGCGTGCCTATTGGAGAGGAGGTTTGGGAGGTGGTCCGGCTACGGGAGCGGCTTCGACAGTTGCAGGCGCCACTGCCATGGCTCCAATTGCTCGACCACCCTCAGATGGCTTCACACCTCCTCGCCATTGCAGTTTCAGCACGGCCGATGTACCTCGCCCGGACTATGCCGCCGCGTCCGGAGGTGGTTGAGGCTTTTAGGGATTGGGACAGCTGTTTAGAGGATTGCTTTGAGCAGCTTTTCCCACCTGGCACTTGGGAGCAGGACCCCGACCGGTCTAGGCGCGCACGCATGCAGCTGCATCTCCCTGTGCGACTCGGAGGGTTCGGGATCCGGGCGGCGGCCTCTTTGAGCCCACTGTCCTATGTTTGTGGGTGGGCGCAGGCCGCGCGTGACATTGCACAGTTAGGGGTGGCGGGTGAGGAGGCGATGTTTGCAGAGTACCTCACCACTTCGACAGGGGCAGAGTTTCTTGACCCGTGGTTTGTCAAGGCTCTTGAGCAGCTGCCAGCGACTGTCCGCCACGAGATACCGGGCTTACCTCTGTGTGTAGCGGCCCCTCCTGTTCGGCTTTTCCAGGCGCGGCAGCGGCAGTTAGCTGTAGAGGAGCTCCAGGCACTACGCCGCTTGGCTCGTGACGATGCTACCTTGGCCCGTTTCACATCCCTTCAGGGCCCGGGGGCGGGTGCATGGGTTTCGGCGGTTCCGGCTCACTCGGATCTCACATTCACTGCGGCTGAGTGGGGCATCGCTGCTGCTATACGGCTTGGCCTCCCAATTCAGCAGCTGTAGGTGGCGGGGAGGTGTGTTTGTGGCACAGCGTATGTTGACCCAGCAGACCCGCACCATGCCCTGAGATGCAAGCACCAGCATGGTCCATCTCGGGTGCATGATGAGGTGAAGTTTGCGGTGGCGAAGATCTCTGAGGCGTCGGGGGGGGTGGTGACAATGGAGGATAGTGTGGTGCTGCAAGGGAAGCGGGTTGATGTGGCGGTGCAACGACCAATGGCTGGAGAGGCTCACGCCCTAGAGATCAGCGTCGCGGACCCGCTATCGCTGTCTCCATCACTGCTGGGACAGTGCGGGCGTCAAATAGGTGTGGCGGCAAGGGAGTGGGAGCGTCGCAAAACGAGTGATTACGCGCCTCTGCTTGCACGCAACCGGGGCGTGCAGTTCACCCCTTTGATAGTTGAGACGTGGGGGTGTCTCGGCGGTCGTTTTCAGCGGTGGCTTCGTCAGCAGGGGGATGCGCACGTGGGGCTAGCTGTGTCGCGGGGGGCTTGTCGAGAGGACGACTCTGTGTTTTCGGCTTATCTTTTGGGGTCACTGAAGGCGCTCATCGGGGTGGCGTTACAACGTGCGCAAGCCCGTGTCATCCTGCTTCGAGCGGCGTCTTCCATGGGGGGGATTAACGTAGATTTGGTGGACCGGGAGAGGGACGATGTCGATGTGGAAGGCGGGGCTCTCTGGGTAGAGGCCCCGTACATGGTCGATACGCTGTTGTGATTGAAGGGGGGGGGGGGGGGGGGGTGGGGTCTGGGATGGGATGTCTTGATGGGGTGTCTTGACTCGGCGTTTTGATTGGGTATCTTGAGGGGGGGTTCTATGTGTGTTGCATTTGGGTTCTTTTACTCATGTGCTTCTTCGTGAGTGGGGCAACACATAGGGAAAAATGGATGTCTGTGGTTGGGGTGGGGATGGGGAAAGAGAGATGCGGATTGCGATCGAGGGAAGTTTTTGGGTTGCGTAGCAACTGGCTCCACTGGACTCTTCTGGTCAGAAACAGCAATTCCATGTATTCACCGTGTTGACTGTGCCGCAAAAAAAATAAAAAAATAAAAAAAATAATACCATGTCATTACATTCTGTTACATATTATGATATAGTGCGGTTGAGGACGAAGTGTACATTTTCAGCACAAGCACAATCGCTGGTAATTCGCCTGGTTGGGGGGCGGGGTGGTATGTCTCGTCAATGATAGGCCAACACGTGGCTGCCACATCCACTCAACATCGGCCAAACCACATCCTTAGCACAGTCTCCCTGGGGGTCAAAGCGACAACAATTCTCTGCTCTGCAGTCCCTTGGGATTCTCTGAACAAGCTAGAATCCCTCTCCCCTCACATTCCTCCGAGGGCTTGCAGTTTCCTCTGAGGCTACATTGCCTTCAGATCATAGGCTTCATTGTCTGAGGCACACTAAGCAGGACCATTCCGGAGTTGCCTTTCGGCAAACTCAGTTGCCTCGTCCTAGGTCGAGGTTTCGTTCCGCACATTGACCGGCTGTATCGCCAACACGTAGAACACGTCAGGACTGTTATTCTGGTCTGAAGTTTTCCTCACCCCTAAAGCCGGAGGTACCGCGTAGAGAAGATCGATTGAAAACCAAGTTCGGAACCTGGTTCTAACAGTCGATTTCGAACTTCAACTCTGTTAATAAACTTCTCGACCCGAGGCTCGTGATCCATTGACTCATGGCGAAGCCGGCTCCACAAAAGAAAGGCGCAGCTGCCGCTGCGCCTGCTGCCACGTCAGCAGCAGCGAGTGAAGCGGTAGCCAACCAGCAACTGGCCGCTGATCTGATGCAGAAATGGGAGCGACGAAACGATCCTGTCGAGATCGACGACTCGGAACAGCCGAAATACGTGCGCAAGGGACCAGCGACGTCGAAGGAGCTAGCGGCGAACAAGAAGGTATGACAGGCAGATATGGCCAGTTGCGGAGGAGGAAGTGGTTGTGGGGAGGAAATGACCTGGGATCAGGTGCAGGGAAAGAGGAATACGCTGCAAATAGTCGTTCTCACGGCCTAACGTTTACGCTAATGACGTGCTATCGTTCGCGCTAATGCCACTAACGCTCACTCTTCAGCCCCAGATGGTGAAGGCAGAATGTTCCTGAATAAGTGCTTCTGAGGTTTTTGAAAGTTACACTTACGCGCTGAATGACAGGATAACCCAGGAGCGATACGACGAGAGCCTTTTGAGACGTCTCAAAACACTGCTTTTATCACGTTACACCTACGCGCTGAATGACAGGATAACTCAGGAGCGATACGACGAGAGCCTGTTGAAAATGAGGCTTTTTTTTGCGCGTGGGTGGTCGTAGATGGATATAGAAGGACGCCAGTTACTCTGGCTCAAGAATCACCTCCGGCAAGACCTGGCGCATGGGTGATTATCGGCGGATAGAATAGGACGTTAACAACACTGACTCTAAACCGAGCTCCACGTCCTAGGACAGATTCTTAAATATTTCTCTGCAGGAAGTATCTTCGCCAGAATGCCGTGTCATTCTTATGAGACTGCGCAGAAGTACGATCGCTCTGGAGAAATGCTTCGGAGTTGAACGGCTGATGGTCATTGTGTCTGGTATAGATGAAAGGCTTAGATTGACGACACGGGTTTGTGCCGCTTCTCATGGACCTTTTCCGTTCTGCGCCCCTCCCTCCTATACCCCCTGCCTGCCTTTCCTCCTTTCCTCCCCTGTCCTCCCCTAGTCTGCCTCTCTCCGCTCCGCAGCTGTACCAGCAGGCGGCCAACAGCCGCATGACGCAGTTTCCTCCCCTCCCCCGCAACCCTCCCTCGTCGTACCCTTCCGCCCTCCCCACCTTTTCCCTCCCCCCTTCCGCGCCACAGGTGTAACAGAAGGTGGCCAACAGCCGCATGACGCAGTTTTCCCCCGTTCCCCTCTCCCCCAATCCACCCGACCCCCTCCCCCCTTCTCTTCCCCCCCCCCCCCCCCCCCCCCTCCCTCCTCCTCCTCCTCCCCTCCTTTCCCCCTTCCGCGCCACAGATGTACCAGCAGGTGGCCAACAGCCGCAAGAGGCCCAACCCCTCGTTCCCTTTCCCCCAACCCTCCCTCGTTCTCACCCTCCTCTCCCCCCCTCTTCTCCCTCTTTTCTCCCCTTCACAGCTGTACCAGAAGGTGGCCAACAGCCGCATGACGCAGTTTCTGCTCAAGTCGGAGGAGTTAGCGCGGCGGCAGCAGGAGGAGGAGATTCGCCGGCACTCCGCGCCGCTGCATGCGGAAGACAAGGGGCTGTGGAAGAAACTGCCGCTCATTCCTGGTAGGAATTAGGGTTAACCAAGTGAGTCATGGTAGGTACTAGATGGTAGCAGGTGAGATGCGAACAGGCTGCAGAACGAGCTGGTAGCACGCTGCGCCGCTGCACGCGGAGGACAAGGGGCTGTGGAAGAAACTGCCGCTCATTCCCGGTACGCGGTGGTTCTTAGGCGTGTGGGGACTGGGCGTGTGGGTCGTGGTAGGTGGTAGCAGTTGTGCATGCTTTTAGCACTCCGCGCCGCTGCATGCGGAGGACAAGGGGCTGTGTAAGAAGATGCCGCTCATTCCCGGTGAGGGAGAAAGGTCAAGCATGTGGGTGTGTCCTGGTAGGTTGCGGAGTCATGATAGGCACTCCGCGTTTTGAGACGTCTCAAAACACTTCTTCAATCTCCTGGTAGGTTGCGGAGTCATGATAGGCACTCCGCGTGAAATGAAGGTGTTTTTGAGACGTCTCAACAACACCCTCATTTCACGTGTAAGGTCCAGCAGGTGGGTGTGTCCTGCTAGGTTGCGGAGTGATGATAGGCACTCCTCACCGCACCGCTGCACTCGGAAGACAAGGGGCTGTGGAAGAAGATGCCGCTCATTCCGGGTACGCGGTAGTTCTTGGTGGTAACAGGATAACCAGACGCTCGGCTCCGCTGCACGCGGAGGACAAGGGGCTGTGTAAGAAGATGCCGCTCATTCCCGGTGAGGGAGAAAGGTAAAGCACGTGGGTGTGTCCTGTCAGGTTGCGGAGTCATGATAGGAACTCCGCGCCGCTGCATACAAGTGGCTGTGGAAGGAGATGCCGCTCACTCCGGGTACGGGAAAGCTCCCATTGGCACAGGCAAGCTGTTGCTCCTGGGACTGACGGGCAACAAAGAGAAGGCGGGCAACGTGCCTCCTTCCATTCCCCTCAACCCACACACCCTTCTTTTTCCTCTCTCCCTTCCCCCTCCGCAACCCCACACCTGCTCTACCTCCCACACGCAGCCCCATTCGGCACGGGCAAGCTGGTGCGGCTGGGCCTAGCGGGCAACAAGGAGAAGGCAGGCAACGTGTTTCTCGACTTCTTCAAGACATTCCATTTCGGCCTCTGGGGCTACCAGCAGCGCCCCTACCCCGCTGAGAAGCCCTTTGACATCCAGCAGGTCGTCGGCACCAAGTTCCTCGAGAAGAGATACCTTGACTGTGAGTTCTATACCAGGGTGTGCCCTTTCTTTCCTAGTTTTTCTCTCTTCTTTTTCCGGCAAGCGGGTGGGCAGGGTAAGCAAAGGTGATGGCGTCACTCCAAGTCCAACCTTCCATCGCCTCCCTTTCAAACCTTCCCCCTCTCCCCGTCTCCCCCGTCTCCCAGTCACCCTGCGTGGCAGCACGTGGCACTACAAGGACCGTGTGGGGCGCACGCGGGGGCCCTGCGAGGTGACTCACTTTCATATGCGAACCCGCCTACACATCCACCCTCCCCCCCTGCTGTCACTCCCCTTTACAGTCACCCTGCGTGGCAGCACGTGGTACTACAAGGACCGAGTGGGGCGCACGCAGGGCCCCTGCGAGGTGACCAGTATTCTCCCCACCTCCCCCCTTCCCTGGTTCTCCACCTCTCTCCCCCAGTCACCCTGCGTGGCAGCACGTGGTACTACAAGGACCGAGTGGGGCGCACTGCAACTCCAAATCACCTGTGCACCCCTCCTACCCCCTTCCTCCCACCTCCCTCCCCCCCCTCACCAGTCACCCTGCGTGGCAGCACGTGGTACTACAAGGACCGGGTGGGGCGCACGAGGGGCCCCTGCGAGGTGATCAACCTGCGCACGGCGTGGGCGGCGGGGATCATCGATGGCAACACCTTTGTGTGGGGCGATGACATGGACGAGTTTGCCCCCATTGATGCGGTCTATGGGCTGAAGCAGGCGATCGACACGCCCGATGGTGAGTGGTTAAGTGGGTTAGTGAGTGGTGGAGATTGATGTTTGAGTTGAGTAAAGACACATGGACGAGTTTGCCCCCATTGATGCCGTGTATGGGCTGAAGCAGGCGATCGACACGCCTGATGGTGGGTGGGTGGGTGGGTGGGTGAGTGAGGGAGCGAGGGAGTGAATGAGGGAGTGAGGGAGTGAGTGAGAGAATGAGTGATCAAGATTGGTCTTGTCGAAGTGGTGGTACGTGCTAAAGAAGATGGTCGACTCGCCTGATGCTGGAGGTACGTACCACCACCACTTATGAGAGATCGCTGGAGGAGCGGCAGGCAGAGGCATTGGCGGACAAGGAGCGAGAGCGCTCTGCTCTTCCCCACCCTAGACGAGCAATAATCCCGAGCCCGCCTTTTTTCACACTCCGTTTCCCCTTCTCCCACCCCTTGCTGCTGCTCCTGCTGTTGCTTCCGAACCTGCCAGTGCGCCTGGCCACGGCAGGAATGGCTATGCTGCATCGCTTTCCCCCACCCTCGCGCCCTTCATCTCTCACTTCCCTCTCTCCTCTTCCTGTGTCCCACCAGTGCGCCTGGCCACAGCAGGCACGGCCATTCTGCACCGCATCGGGAGGGGCGTGAACCCTCTCAAGGTCAAGAAGGGCTTCGAGGGCGCCAAGAGGTCGCTGGAGGAGCGACAGGCAGAGGCACTGGCGGACAAGGAGCGAGAGCGCGCTGCCTTGCTCCACCCTAGACGAGCAATAACCCTGTACCCCGTCCCTTTCCCCTCAGTTTCCTCTCTCCCCACCTTCTCACCGCTGCTGTTGCTGCTACTTCTGCTGCTGCTGCTGCTTCTTCTGAACCCACCAGTGCGCCTGGCCACAGCAGGAACGGCCATGCTGCACCGCATTGGGAGGGGCGTGAACCCTCTCAAGGTCAAGAAGGGCTTCGAGGGCGCCAAGAGGTCGCTGGAGGAGCGCCAGGCAGAGGCACTGGCGGACAAGGAGCGGGAGCGTGCCGCCTTGAAGAACCACGGGGGAGCGTGGCCGGGCAACCAGGCCCCCTCTCATTCGCTCTTCCTGTGGGCCAGTGGGAGTGAGCTTACCAAGGTGCTGGACCAGAAGCCCAAGAAGTTTCCCAGCAAGTTCATCTCCTACGAGCAGAGGTGAGGGAGGAAGGGAAGCTCTGTCTCTGTTTGCTTTTTGGAGAAGAATTTCTTTACTCTGTTTGCCCTTCTAGATTCCCCCCCCACAGCTTCCATGCCGTGGGTCATACCCCGGGTGTACCATAGCATAACCCACCCCTCAATGTTCCCACAACAACTTCCACGTGATAAAAGTGTAGTTTTGAGACGTCTCAAAACTACACTTTTATCACGTACCCCGGGTGTACCATAGCATAACCCACCCCTCAATGTTCCCACAACAACTTCCATCTTCCCTTCTTCTGTTCGCAGGAAGAAGCTGGCGCAGCGCATCCCGGGGCTGCGTCCATGGGAGGTGCTGGAGGTGGAGCAGCTGTTCAACTTGCTCATTCTTCACCACACACTCCCCATTCTTTTTCCCTGTTCCTTGTTCCCACCCCCGTGCAGGAAGAAGCTGGCGCAGCGCATTCCGGGGCTGCGCCCGTGGGAGGTGCTGGAGGTGGAGCAGCTGTTCAACTTCCTCACCTTCCGTGATGACTTCTGGCGCAGCAAGCTCGGCACATCCCCTCCCTCCCTTCCTATCTCGGTGGCAGATTGAAGGATTGATCCCCTGCAAGCAACCCATACCAAATCTGTCACTGCTCATTTACCATTCTGATTCCTCAATCCCTCCTCCCTTTACCTCCCGTTTCTCGCTTGCAGGAAGAAGCTGGCGCAGCGCATCCCGGGGCTGCGCCCATGGGAGGTGCTGGAGGTGGAGCAGCTCTTCAACTTCCTCACCTTCCGTGATGACTTCTGGCGCAGCAAGCTCGGCACCTCCCCTCACCACCTCCCTCACTCCCTCCCTCCCTATCGTGCTCCCAGATCAACGGAGAAATCTGGCACAGCCCATCTTTGACCCGTGCTTCCCCATTCCCTGTTTTCCATTCCTTGCCTTTTTTTCTCCACAGGAAGAAGCTGGCGCAGCGCATCCCAGGGCTGCGCCCGTGGGAGGTGTTGGAGGTGGAGCAGCTGTTCAACTTCCTCACCTTTCGTGATGACTTCTGGCGCAGCAAGCTTGGCACATTTTCTACGCCGCCCGAGAATTCCGAGGCTTATGACGAGGAGATGATGGAGGAGTGGGGAGAGATTAAGGATGCTTTGTCAGGGGCATTTCCAGAGCTGTCCAGGTGATTATAAACATGTAGTACTACTACCATCTTGACATGCTATCGTGCCTATTGTAGAACTAGGACCACTCGAGCACTGTTCAAGTTTTTTTGCTGCTGTGATGTATGTTCCTAAATGAAGGAACTTCAGAATCTGCTGGCACATATTCCATACAAGAACCTAAGTCAAGAAGTTGAATCCGAAAAATGTATGGTTCAATTAGGTTGCTTGGTGGGGCTTGTTCATCGGAATCACTCGCGATTGTGGGGGGCGTGGGTCACGCCAAGCAGTTGGGACACCCGCACCTGTCGGAGTTATGTTCGAGCTACCCTGAATCTAGACGCCGCGGCTGGATTGCACCCTGTTTTCTGTTTAGTTATTTTCTGAGTGTGGGTTCTCCTCAGAACTCGGTAGGTACAGAATCCTTGTTACACCTGAATGGATTATCTCTGGTGATGACTACGATATCCAGAGGAATATCGAAACTGTCATGAAGTTCCAAGTTTCAAAATCGAGCTCAGACTGACCCTAAACATCGTAAGGGTGCGTTCCTGGCTCGTGTCAAACTTCCGGTCTTCCGGGTTGACTCGAAGCTGGCCCCACTTCGGGTCATCCGAGACCAACTTCGGGTCTTCCCGCTACATTTCGCCTCTTGTTTTCGGAAGAGACGAAGTTTGACAGGAAGTTTGACCTAAACATTTGCCTTTCCGGGATGACCGGAAGTTTGACCCGAGTAGGGTAAAACAGCCCTAAGTTGTTTCTGTGACTGGAGCAGACCTTGACAGTATCCAGGAAGTGATCGATAATCCAGGATCAAACCTTTGGGCGTGTGTGATTTTTGGAAACCTGTCGAAGTTTGAACTCTAACCGCTTCGCACCGTGGCAAAACATTTCTTAAACGTATTCTACCATATAGAACCGTTATAAAAGTTCGAACTTTGGGAGGTTCGAAAAAAAATCACACACGCCCTTACGGGTCTACCATTTAGGGTGGCTGATTATCCTTCTGGTGCAAGCCCTTCAAAACTCGAAGCGCTCACGATGCCATCGTCGTGACCGCATGAGCCAGAAAACACGCCTCGGGTCGGACGGCTGCTTGGGAAACACGGGTTAGCGATCGAGCGTCGATGTCGCCGATTTCTCTGACCAATAAAATAGGTCGTTTACTCGATCACGCGACCCCATTGGATGCGCCGCTGATCGAGCCCTGACTGGAACGTGTGTTCGAGTCGCATTCATGGAGCTCGTTCTTCGTGCATTTGCGCATCGATCACACATGGCGGCTCGAAATGTCCCGCAAGACCTTGGGATTTCTGGATTTGTTGAAGATACGGGTGTTTGGTGCTGGCGAAAATCGCCAGGGGCAAATCGGCCTCTGACGAAAACATGTTACCACAGTGGGCCTCTACAACGTCGCGAAAGCAGAAACTCACCAGCCACTGGGAAACGTCGAACGTGGAACGTGACGCTGCACTGCTTGTCCTTGTCACGAAAGCTTGCTTGCACCTCCCTCCCCCCCAACCCAACCTCACAAAACGGCAGCACCCCACCACCACTCACCCACTCGACCCTACTCACCGACCATGTCGCAATCCTACTTCATATTCTGGGCGTTGTTGCTCTGTCTTCAAACAGCAAGGTGGTAGAGCACACGCCCAGCTTCTGTTAGGTACCCGCGCCTGTTTTACCAGTAAGTTAATATTGTTTGCCTAGCGTCTTAGCTTAGGAGTGTTCAATAATCTTACCAGAATCATGAGGCCGTTCGTTCGTTCCGCGTCGGCAGGCCTGTCCGTTCTGCTGTGTTGCCTAGCATTTTCCGTAGCGTTCGCCGACGATGCGCAAGTAGAAACCGGATTCATTCTCTGCGAGGATTTCGGCGACCACGCAGCTTCAGCCGCTGCGGTCCACAACATATCCGTCTGCGCCTTCGTACTGCAAGGCGAGCCAGTCGATTTCGACCTCACCCCCTCTGCGACCACCAGCACCCCTGCGGTCGTCGGCGATGAGTTTTCGCTTCGGCGAAACTTGCTGGGCGGCGGCGCGACGCCTGTAGCGATCCAGCTGGCGCAAGGGCTGCTGGGAGATGTGGGGACGGTCCGAACTCAGGCGACGACGGGAGCGGGTTGGGTAGTTATGGGCTCCCTCCTCACGCAGGTACGCCTAAAAAAAAATCTGCAAGCAGGTGTGCATTTGTTTAGGTGAGCAATAAACGATTCCACGATGGTGTGAACATCGCCGTATGTGAGTTACACATGCGAAGGTCAATATCGCGGCTCTCGTCCGATATTGTGACTCACAAACGGAGACTTCGGATAAGGGCAATTCGAGATCGCGATGGTTCAGAACCTAAAAACCTCCCGAGTCTCGTCAACCGCTTGCGGCTCATATGTTTCCTTCTCACCCTGACTCCTGTTGTGTGTTTCAGTCGCTACTGATCGGCAAGAGCCTGGTCTGGGCGATCAAGGATATGGTCGACATGTACCGCACGCGCCCGCGATCCACGCAGCAGCTTCAGGACGCGACTCGCAACGTGAATCGCGCGTATTCCAACCAGCAGACGCTGCTGATGGTGCTCAACAGAAACCCTCAGACCCAGCAGTCCAAGCAGCTCTCGTCCATACGCGATGAAGTCGCATCCATGACCCCCAAGTTCACGCAGCTGCTCTCCCTGCTCGCCACGTGGCGCCAGCAGCAGATCCACGCCATCACTCGCCTGCGTTTCGATGCGGAACCTTCCAGCCTCGCCGTTACCCAGGCCGTGCCGGCCGAGTCGGGAAGCGGAAACGGCGGCCAGAAGCTCGTGGTAACTCTTAATCATAAAGACAGGAACAACAACAACGACAATAACAACAATAATAACAACAACAACAACAACAACAGCAACAATAACAAGAAGGACAAGAAGAACAAGAAGAACAAGAATTCCTCGGGTGGTTCATCGAACTCCGGCGGCCAGGGCTCGAAAGCGGGCAAGAAGGCGAAGGTTGGGGCGACTCAGGTGATCAACGCGGTTGTAGCGGCAGACGGCAGCGGGGATTACAAATCGATTCAAGACGCTGTGGACGCGGCTGGACCAGGTTCAACGATTCGCATCAAGGCGGGAGTATACAAGGAGCAGATTCAAGTCAGCACGGATCGCATCAAGATGATTGGAGCAGGGATAGATCAGACGGTTATTGTGAACGACGCCAGCCAGAGCGGAGGTTACGATATTATCACCTCTGCCACAGTGGGTAAGTGCTTTGCATCTTCCGCACCAATCTCGCCCAAAATTCCATTTCGAATTCAGTGCCGCTGCATGGACCTGCGTTTACACCTCGACACATATTTGATGCTCATCTAATTTCGTTCACGAATGTTACGTGTGGCAGGAGTCAACGCGGATAATTTCGTCGCTATGAGCTTGACGATTCGCAACTCAGCTGGCATGGCGGGCCAGCAGGCCGTGGCGCTCCGTGTCGACAGCGACCAAGCCGCGTTTTACGCCGTCCGAATTTCGGGATTCCAAGACACCCTGTTCGCCAGCACGGGTCGCCAGTACTACACCAACTGTTTCATCGACGGGGCTGTGGATTTCGTGTTCGGCGACGCGGCTGTTGTGATTCGTAATTCGCAATTGAAGGTCCAAGCGTCGCAGTACGACACGACGATCACAGCGTCGGGTCGCATCAGCAAGACCTCCAACACTGGGATTGTCATCATGGACTCCCGCGTGGTGTCGTTCTCGCCGCGCGCGTACCTCGGGCGACCGTGGAAGACCTACGCGGTCTCGGTGTATATCAACACGATGCTCCCAAATGTAAGTTCGACACCAACTTCGCCAAAATCTCGCAGACGGATCGGTGTCCTCGTCAACATTCCGTTGGCAAACCCGGTAACAGAGCCTGGTGTCAGGTGCATGTGTGTCTGATTCGACATCACCGAGACGCATTTGTGTCACGGTCATGCTGTCGTCTCAGCTGAAGGATATTATGCTCTCTGATATTAAATCCAACATGGCTTTCCCGCGTGGGTGGACACGAGCTAAACCGTCAACCCTCTCCCTGAATGCCGATTCCCTCGCTCTTCGCTCCCCTTCCCAGAACCAACCCCTCTCTCCCCTCCCCCCCCCCACACTTTCACACACTCTGTCCCTCCCCGCACTCCCGCGTTCCCCTTTCGCGCAGAAAATCGTTGCTGACGGCTGGATGACGTGGGCCGGCGAGACGTACGGCGGAAAGCCCTTCCTCGCGGAGGTCAACAGCAAGGGCCCCGGCGCCCAGCCGTCGCGCGTCAAGTGGGCGAAGCCGGGCGTTACGTCAGCCGGTGACGTCAGCCAGTACAACCCGAACAGCTTCATCCAGCTCCAGTCGTGGATTGGCGCAACCAAGATTCCCGTCTGAGCAAACTTCGTGTTCATCCGCGTTAGGGAACGGCCACGCTAGGCGTTAGTACGGACTTCGATCTGCGGTACAAGACTCACAACCCCTTCTAAACCCGAAACCCTGGCGAAGGGCTTCGCTGTTCTCTGGCGTTATGCTCGGTTCTTCGCGGCTCGTTATAGCCGCTTCTTGGTGAACTCTTTTCTCCCTGGGCAACATCTATGTGAACTAGTAAGGAAATAATATCTCTAGCTATTAAGGTATAGGTTACACACTGGCATTACTAAGTTCCAATCTTGTTATCCTTTATTAAATGCTCATTTCAACAATATTTTCCACCAACGCTAGGTGGCCTTGCACTCAATCTACCATGATATTGCTTTGCAGCAAAGTGAATCAGTGTAATAAATAAATGTAACATCAGATGTACACTCAAGCTGATTCTATGTTTTGATTTGCTCCATGTGCACTGAACCAACTGCTGGACTGCTGCTGCCTTGGCACCTTGCCACATCATCAGAGCTGCCAGCCTGGCACGCTCGAAACAGCCGCATCAGATCTGCCACCCTGTCCGCCCGGAGCTGAGTCAGCAGCGAGGGGGGGAGGGCCGGAGGGGAAGGAGCGGTCGGGCGTGGTGATTGGTTGGCTGGTTTTCGTGGACGGACAGAGAGAGCGCGGGAGGGCGTGCGGGGAGTAGGAGTAGTAGAGGTGGCGAGGTTGCGAGGGGAAGGGGGGGGAGGGGGGCAGATGGAAAGGGGGCGAGGGGGCGTGGGGCGGGGGGGGCGTGGGGGAATGGGAAGAAGTGGCATCATCTTGGGGAGGGGTGGCGATATGGTTGGGATCAGCTGCAGCGTTGGCAGTTACTTGGGGAGTGGGCGTGGTAGTGAGGTGAGGGGTAGCAGTGTCTTGAGCACAGGAAGAAAGGTGCTGTTGACCTGGTTGACTGGGTTGGCTGGGTTGACATGGGTGACTTGATTGGCTGGGTTGATTATGATGTGATGCAGTGGGTTGACTTGATTGACTGGATTGATGTGATGAATCAGTGGGTTGACTCGGTTGACTTGATGAACCCAGTTGACTCAATTGGCTCGATTGCCACGGTTGGGATTGGAGAATGCTCGGGCTGCTCGTGCCTCCGATTGGAGAATTCTTCACAGCCACATTCGCTGCAGTCACGCTCCCTGTCGTGCCGCTGCTTGCTCCAGTGCTGCAGCAGTCAACGCCAGTCCACGGCAAGAAAGAGGCTCGTTGCGGCTCCGTGTTGATCAGAGGGAGATCGTCACTGGGAGATGCAGGACGGTACAAGGAGTATTCTGCTGGTGCTGCTGCTGCTGCTGCTGCTGCTGGTGCTGCTGCTGATGGTGCTGGTGCTGCTGCTGATGGTGCTGGTGCTGCTGCTGCCTGTGCTGCTGCTTCCTGTACTGCTGTTCTGCTGCTCCATTCCAAAGCAGTTCTGCTGCTGTTAATACCCGTGCCACTGCTGCTGGTAGTCACGAAAGCAGGTACTTCCGTTCTTGGTTCAGCTATCAACACATGTCTTCGCCCAACCGTTTCAAACCAAGGATGCGAAAGAATCTCACAAGACCTGATCCTCCTCCCTGGTTCCTTCTCCAGCATCCTCCGAACCAGATCCTTAGCCTCGGAAGAAACCCCGCCCCACAGCTCCGGCGCGACCAGGTCTGGCGCCGCCCGGCACGCAGCAGCAAACACGGCATTGTGGTTCGGGCCATGGAAGGGAAGCTTCCCGGAAAGGCACGTGTACAGGATAATCCCAAGGCTCCACACGTCCACCTGGTGGTCATACAGGTGACCTTTCACGACCTCAGGGGCCAAGTAAAACGGGCTCCCTACCAAGCCTGTCAGGTGCTCCCCAGGCGCCAATCGCCTTGCCAGGCCAAAGTCGGCGATGCAGAGGTGGAGGTTCGGAAAGCTGCCCGCGTCCCCTGAGAACGGCCGAGCCAGCAGGATGTTCTCGGGCTTCAAGTCCCGATGCACCACCCCCACAGAGTGCATCCACGCCAGCGTGGCAGCCAGCTGGCCCACGACAGCGGCCGCCAGCTGTTCGGGCATGCCTGCTGACTCAGCGTACCGGTCAACAAGGTCAAACAAGTCTCCTCCGCTGCAGTGGTCCATGACTAGGTGCACCCCCCAGTTATCCTCGTACACTGAATGTAGACGCACCAGGCCCTCCCAGGGGGACCTCTCTGTGCTGGTGCTGTTGACTGGGTTGACTGGGTTGACTGCTTCCGCCTCGTCCCCTTCTCTTGCACTCTCATCTTCCTCCTCTTCCGCCATCTGCTGCAGCAGCAGCGGCGTCAGGGCCTCGGCGCGCAGCTCCTCCATCTCCCGCGAGCCCTGAGAGCACAGCACAGCACAGCACGAGGCAAGGAGGATGCAAGGAGGAGCATCCGAAGTTAGTTTCAAGACGTGATTTGGGTTGGGACGCGTAAGCGTTGGGAACATCTGTCAGAAACGGCAGCGCCTCGGCGCGCAGCTCCTCCATCGCCCGCGAGCCCTGAGAAAACAGAGCAGCACGAGGGAACGAGGAGCAGGCAGGAACAGGGATCAAAATCGTAAGAAGCAGGACGAGACGACAACATCAGGGTGAATGATCATAGCAGGGAGCGTGAGAATGGATAGCACGACACAAGGAGAGGCAAGGAGGAGCAAGCGTGAATCGACAGCGTCAGAGAGCAAGCACGAGGGAGAGATCAAAGTCATAGGATCAGGGCGCAAGGACAACATCAAGGGTGAATGATGGAAGGGAGCGTGAGAATGATACAGGGAACACATGGGAGAATACAAGGGAGACTGATAGCCGGGGAGACTGATAGCCGTACCTGAAGCAGCTCCTTGCTGATTGTCTTGCAAGCGAACGTCGCGCCGCTGCCCCGTTCCCGGCACGCGCGCACCACGCCGAAATGCCCGCGCCCCAGCTCCTCCCCGACCTCGAACCGAGCCTCCAGCCTCGGCCCGAAGCTGCCGACGAGCCACGGATCCCTCCAGCTCGGCGGGTAGTGATACGGTTGGATTTGCTGGTTCGGCGGCGCGCCGCGGGTGCAACTCGAGCTTCGGTAGTATCGCTGCCGCGTTTGCGCCGCGAGGCGGCATCGCTCCTCCAACTGGTCGAGAAGCATGCTGACGTGGCAACGGGTGGTCGCGGCGCGCGGGAAATCGAACACTGGCCGATGTAAACTCCCAAAACTACGACTCGAACATGGATCACTGCTACTAGCGGCGAGGACTTGGGAGGACATGGTGTCGCTGGTACGGGCCACTGCCATGATGTCATTGGTTTGGGCAGACTCTCTCATACTGCTGCTATGCCGCCGCGGCGCGGTTCTGAAATCGACTTCGAGAGGAAAGTCGACTCCGATTCGTTGCGAGCGACTTGCGAGGATTTCGGAGCCCATTGCTGTCGCAATTTGTATGTGTTTTTTTCCTTTCGTTTACGGGTGACTTCTGAAACGCGGGTGTCAGAAATTGAAGCTTGCTATAGCTGCATAGAGCGCGTGTGACTTCCTATGATACCCGCACCGCACGTCGGCCGAAGCTGCAATCCGAGTGTCACGGTTCCGGCAGGTGAAGCATTATAATTACTTCAAAAAGCGCAAGCCTTGTGGGAGGAGGGAAAGCGAGTCCGGAAAACGAGCGGATGAGAAACGATCGGACCGGGGAGAAAGCATGGCCGACATCTGATACCAGTGCGAGGAAGAAAGGGTCTGAAATAACGCAGCTGCGTTACACACTGGGGCCCTGATGACGTAGTCTGAGTCGGCTCGAAATACACCTGGACTAGGGGGGAGGGGCGGAGGCACAGCTGACGACCGCTACCAGTGCTGGAGTCACTTCTGAAATTTACACAAGGAGGAATGGGTCCGAAGCGATGCCTCTACGTTACACTGTGGGGGCCAAACTGACTCCACGTTACAGACTAGAGGATGGCCTATTGCTGAGAGAAGACGACTGTCGGCAGGTTGTTTGTGGAAAAAAGCCGTACATTGGAAGAGAATGAGGCGTGGAAGAAGAGGGCGACTGGGTTCGTGTGTGCAAGGGGATTCGGTCGGACAAATTAGTGGATTTTTTGGCTGTGGCAGGCGTGCTGCCAATGAAGTGGGCAAGTGTTAGAATTTGTAACGAGAAATGCAGCTGGAGCACACGAAAAAGTCAGACCACAGAGGTTTCTGATGTGCGAGGGAGGGGGCAGAAACGTGATGAAAGGACGGGAACGAGAGGGATTGAGGTTGGTTTGGATGAGATAGGTTGGGTTGGGATGGGATGACATGCGATGGGAAGGGATGCGATGGATGTTGGACGGAAAGGATTTGCAGGGAATGGTCGTCGGGGGGGAGGCCGTCGGGGAATGGTCGCCGGGGGAAATTGCGGAATCGAGGTTGTGCGGGAGGGAGCAGCTGGTGCTTCATCTTGGGTGTTGCAGGGTGCCAGTTGTACTTTGGTGGTGGGTGGGGTTCGGAAGGGAAGGGAGGGAAGGGGGAAGAGGGGGATGAACTGCTTTCCCAACCCACACTCGCTGATTGGCGCTGTCAACAACTGGGTTTCCGCAGCTTGCTGCGCGCAACATTGTCCCCCCCGAAGCGTGTGCGTTATGAGAGACGCGACGCGGAGGACGGGTCAGTGGCAGGGGCGGCGGTTGCTGCGGTGCGAAAGAAAATCGGAGAATTCTTGGATTGCAGGGAGGGGGAGGGGAACATAAATTTGACCAGGGGAAGGCGGAGCAACGGCAAGTAGAAGTTGAGGGGGGGGGGGGGGGGGGAGGCGGGGAGGGGAGGAAGAGGGAAAGGCTTGCGGGGGTCGTGAGCGCAGATTCAGTTTCAATGCAACTGCCACGGGGCGGGTGGGGGATGGGTTGGGGAAGGGGTTGTGTGGCTGCGGGGGCGATGGAAAGTGCTAGGAAAGCTGAGGGGTGATATCCTCGCATTCAGGGCAAAGACGGATAAGTTTGTTACAGTATTGCCCAGAAATTTCACTAGAGGTGGAGGAAAGATGCTAATTACACTTGGCAGGTGTAGTGACGGTTCAGAACAGCTGTTCAGAGGAAGTAGATATTCAACCAGTTTCAGCTGACCCACTGAATGGGCAATCGTGGACTCGGTCAACGTCGCGTCTCCGCCACGCACGTAAGTGTGCGACGACTGGTTCAGTGTACTGTACTCCAATGTAATTCTCCGTGCCTTTGACCATCTTACCTGTGCACTGGAACACAGGTCGGTGGAGAAAAGATTGGACCTCCCAAAACATACGCGCTGTTGGACAAGGGAATTAGCAGATGGATGCTCGAGGGACGAGTCACGATTTCGTACCATATAGCTGGATGGCACTTAATACTTATCACGCTACCAATAGTTTTGATGAGTAAATACAATTATGCTAGGGAGTAAATGTTCGGTAAGGAACTAACACAAAGTAGCACGCATGCAGTCTCAGCAAGAAATCAAGCGAGCTGCTGGGTGTTCATACACTCACCAAGGTGTACACACACCCAGCAGCAGCAGCAGCAGCAGCAGCAGCAGCAGCAGCAGCAGCAGCAGCAGCAGCAGCAGCAGAACAATTTGGGCACAGCATCATAGACAGAACAAAATGCCCAAGAAAGAAGTCCCAGCCACAGCAGCGGGTACCACATGCAATCACTGCATGGCCTCATCATAAACAACAAAACCAAAAAAAGGCAGAAACCTGCAGCAGCAGCAGCAACAGCAGCAGCAGCAGCAGCAGCAGCAGCAGCAGCAGCAGCAGCAGCAGCAGCAGCAGCAGCAGCAGCAGCAGCAGCAGCAGGAGGCAGGCTGGTGGGACCCTGGCACTGCAACAACTAAGTCAAGCCACTCATGCCATCTCACGTCACAACCCCCTGCCCTCCTGTCCCCACACAAGGGAAAGTGTAACATCCGTGTGTCTTTCCTTTGCCCCTGCACTGACCACTCTGCACAGCCATGGTGTTCCAAGCTGCTCCTAAAACCCGCTCTCGCTTGCTGCAATGCCCTCCATGCCGCCAGTTCAAATCCCTCCACAATCAACACTCCCTCCACGGACATGCTACAGACGCTCCTTCCTGCTCAGTAGTTCCTCTGCTGCACACTGCCTCCACCGCCCCTCCCTGCCTGCACAAGTCCCTGCAGACCTTCCCACTGTCTCCACCCAGCCATCCGCCATCACCACCCCCCGCAGTCAGCCTCTATTTGAGGCAGAGGTCTTTTTCAAAAGCCTCAGAGACCATCGTGGCTTGCACCAGTCCCTCCACACTGCCTCTGCTGTCTCCACTCGGTCATCCACCGTCACCCGCCACAGCCTCTCTTCATTTCAAACCACACAGCAACGCCGAAAGTTAGTGTTTCAACCCCCAGTTTTTTCTTTTTCTTTTTTTCTTTTAGGTGACCGAAGTTAAACAAACAAACATACACAGACACATTCACACACACATGCTCAAACACATGCATACGTGTGCGCACATACATACATGCAGACACACCCACTTTCCAGGACATGCCATGCCACCCATGCACTGACATGCACAAGGCATTGGCATTCCACCAACACACACCCTGCTGCGTCTGCTCATCAATAATCACACGCCAAAAAAGTTAGCTCCAGTGCACACATGCACAAGTCAAATTGTCAGCTTCGCATCAGCTTCACATGCCCAGTCACACCACTTCCCACACACACTCCCATTCCCTCCACACCTCATTTTCCTTCAACTCTCACGGCCTTCCTTGCACTCTGGAGCAGCAGCAGTCCTCAAATCCCCACTCTTAGCCTCCGTCACATTGTAGCTCTTGGCACCTCGCCTTCTGTCCTAGACAGGTGACATTTGAGTCGCCTCCACAGCTGACCGTCTCCTCTGCTGCCACAGCAACTGCTGCTCTCAAATTCCCCTCTTGGCCTCCCCACCTTACCCCTTGGAACCTCGTCTTCCCTTCTACCTTCTGCCCCTGCCGCTGCGTGTAATAAGGCAATTTTTTATAATTGTCTTTGCCTCAATTAATAAGCCAGAAATCGTCTTTGCCTCCCCACCTGTCCCCTTGAGGCCTCAACGTTACTTTCTACCTTCTGCCCTTCCCGCTGCTCATACCGCCCCTCTTCCTCCCCAGCTGCCCCGACCACATGAGGTGCGCCTGCTGCTCCATAAACGCCATGGCCCGCTGGTTCTTCTCCCGCTGCTCCCCCTCAGCAGCAGCTGCTTCCCTCAAATATCCTTCCCACACCTCCCTTCCCTAGGCTCCTGACGCCTGGCCTTCCCGCTGCTCTTCCTTCTCCCGCCTCTCCCCTGCTGCAGCTGCTCTCGAATACCCTTCCCACACCTCCCTCCCCTTTTGGCTCCTAACGCCTGCCCTTCCCGCTGCTCATGCCGCCCCTCTTCCTTCCCAGCTGCCCCGACCACATGAGGTGCGCCTGCTGCTCCATAAACGCCATGGCCCGTTGATTCTTCTCCCGCCGCTCCTCCAACGCATTCGCAGCTTCATTAGCGCGCGCAGCAGCGAGGAACTGGTTGTCCTTGCGTAACTCTCGGGCCGCGCCTCGTGCCTCCCTCTTGATCGCCCGCTGCAGCCGCCGCTGCTCCGCGCGCTCCCTGTTCGGATCGTAGTCCTTGCCACGCGCAAAACTGGAAGGGGGGGGAGGGGAGGAAGGGAGGTGGAGGGAGGAGAAAGCGAGAGAGAAGGGGTGTTAATGAGGCGCCAGCATTCACTGGAGAAACAGCATATGCAGCTTCATTAGCACGCGCAGCAGCCAGGAACTGGTTGTCCTTGCGTAACTCTCTTGCTGCTCCTCGTGCCTCGCGCTTGATCGCCCGCTGCAGCCGCCTCTGCTCCGCTCGCTCCCTGTTCGGGTCGAAGTCCTTGCCTCGGGCGAAACTGGGGGGGGGCGGTGGGGGGGAAGGGGGGAGGGGGGAGGGGGTGGTGGGGGTGGAAGGGGAATGGTCAACCTGTGCTGCTCTGCGCGCTCCCTGTTGGGATCGTAGTCCTTGCCTCGGGCAAAACTGGATTAGGGGGGGGGGAGGGGAAAGGTGGCAAGCGAGGGAGGGGAAAGGTGGCAAGCGAGGGAGGAGGGAGGGGAGGCGGAGGGAAGAGAAAGCGAGAGGAAGGAGTTTTAATCAGGAAAAACGCATGAGGCAGCATCCACTGGTGCAGCAGCAGCAGCTTCATTAGCGCGCGCAGCAGCGAGGAACTGGTTGTGCTTGCGCAACTCCCTTGCTGCCCCACGTGCCTCGCACTTGATTGCCCGCTGCAGCCGCCTCTGCTCCGCTCGCTCCCTGTTCGGGTCGAAGTCCTTGCCTCGGGCGAAACTGGGGGGGAGGTGGGGGGGGAGGGGGGAGAGGGTGGTGGGGGTGGAAGGGGAATGGTCAACCTGTGCTGCTCCGCGCGCTCCCTGTTGGGGTCGTAGTCCTTGCCTCGGGCAAAACTGGGGGGGGGAAGGGGGGGTTGAGGGAAGGGCGGGGGGAGAAATGGGGAAGGGGAGGGGGAAGCAGCAGCAGCAGCAGCTTCATGTGTGGGGGGCGGAAGTGAGGAACCGGTTGTCCTTGCGCAGCTCCCTCGCTGCCCCCCACCCCCTCCCGATTGTCCTCCATTCTGCAACCAGATATCCTCAATATCACTCTTAAACTTGGACTCTCAATATGTACACAGACTCAAACTTGGGGTTGAACTGTTTCGCAGGCACCGCCCGCTTCACCCTCAGCCCAAGCCTCCAGCTTACCATTCCCTTCCACCTCTCACTCAATCCATCTCATCTCCACACCTACTCGAACCACACTGTATCGATCCCAATACGTACTCAGACTCCTACATTCTAACGCTCCCTTATCCCTCTCCTTCTCAACACGTACTCAGACTCAAACCTCGGGTTGAATGAACTGCTTCGCCAGCACCCCAATCCTCCAACTTGCCATTTCGTTCTACCTCTCACTCATCCCTCTCATCTCCGCACCTACTCAAACCACACACTATCATTCTCAACACGTACTCAGATTCGAACTTGGGGTTGAACTGCTTCACCAGCATGGCTCGTTTCACCTGCAGCAGCAGCGGTTGCCAGCAACCTCAATCATACTCAGACTCAAACCACTCTACTAATCCCAACACGTACTCAGATTAACTTGGGGTTGAACTGCTTCGCCGGCACGGCACGCTTCACCCTCAGTCCCCTATTCCCGGTTTACCACTTCGTATAAATGCTCCCTTATCCCCCATATCTTAAAACGTACTCAGATTCGAACTTGGGGTTGAACTGCTTCGCAGGTACTGCTCTCTTCACCCTCAGCCGCAGCGGTTGCCTGGAACCTTCAACCTCCGCCACCGCCCCCTCGATATCCTTCACCCACGCTGCCCGCTCCTGCTCGATTTCTTCGGGCAGCTGCCCGGACTCCGCTAGGGCAGCGAGCGTGGGCAGGAAGGGCGCGAAAATCTCGGGGAAGGGCTGCATGGGGCGGTAGAGCAGCGCAAAGGAGCGGAGGGTCTTGAGCACTGCCAGCAGCAGACTCAGCCTGAGAGAAGGGAGGGGGGGGGGGAGGCCACGAGGGTTTGGGGGGGATTGGGGGGGGGGGATGAGCGAAACAAAAGTAGCAGCACATGGGGCAGTAGAGCAGGGCGAAGGAGCGCAGCGTCTTGAGCACCGCCAAAAGCAGACTCAGCCTGGGGGTGTGGGGGAGGAAAAGCGGAGATGGGAGAAGGGGTGGGGGGAGAAGTGGGCGGGTGTAAGGGAACCTGCCCTGCCCCTCTACCGCCCCAAGCAACAGTAGCAGCACATGGGGCGGTAGAGGAGTGCAAGGCGCGAACCTGAACCTGTGTCATCACCTGAAACCACCTGAACCTGAGTCATAACCTGAAACCACCAGAACTACATAAGATCACCTGAACCTACCAGAAGCCACCCTGCAAAAAAACCTGAAACCACCTGAACCTACCTGAAGACGTCGGATCCAAAGTAAGCCTCTGCCACGGTCCCTGCTGCACTGCCCTCCACACCCAGCAGGGTGGGAGGAGCAGCAGGAGAAGCAGAGGGCGAAGCCTTGGAAACGAAGGGGTTAGCAGTGGTGCTGGTGGTAGTCTCAGCGGTGCTGGGGGTGTTGGAAGGGCAGGAAGGTCCGAGGAAGATGCGGTCGAAGTCGAGCGCCTGGGGTTGGTCCTCCAGCGGCTCGCGTTTGCGCTTGCGGTGGTTGCTGCCATCGCCACACGGCGCCCACAGCCACTGCTGCGAGCACACCTGCAGCAGCATGTAGCGCGGTACGCCCTGGGGGATGGGGGGGAGGGGAGGGCGGTGGGGGGAAGGGACAGGATGGGTAATGAAGAGTCGAGGAATGCGAGCAGAGTGTACTGCATGGGATTCGCAGAGTCGTCACAAGGCGCCCACAGCACAGACACTGCTGCGAGCACACCTGCAGCAGCATATAGCACAGCACGCCCTGGGAGGAGGAGGGGAGGGGACGAGATGGCGGGAACGAGAAACGGGAGCAAAAAAAATGACACAAATCAATCACGAAAGGAGGAGGGGCGGGAGGACGTGACGCGAGGTGAAGGGAAAGGGAGGAGAAGCAACAGCTTAGTTTGCTTACTTCAGGGAGGGGGAAAGGCCATCCATACCTTGGGCTTGAGAGGTTTGAGCGCGGGAGCAACGGCGCTCCACAGCAGCGCATGCAGGAAGTTGAGTGCCTCTGGGACAAAGCGACGGCTTTGCGACACCATCTGGAAAGAAGAGAGGGGGAGGAGAGGGGAGGGAGCTAGTGACGGTCAGACAGTGGGATGAGATGTAGGGGCAGTGGGGATGATTGGAGACAGCACAAGCGGCGGTTGGGGAAGTAGCAGGGGGTCAGTTGGCTGCAGGGAGGGGTCAGTTGGCAGCAGGGAGGGGTCAGTTGGCTGCAGGGAGGGGTCAGTTGGCAGCAACATTGAGACTCACATTAAGCAGGAGAGCGGATATAAAGAGGCCCGAGGCCATGTCTTTGGTGGAGGGCACAGGGCAGCAGGAGGGGAACTGGGCCAGCAGCAGCAGGAGCAGCAGCAGTGGACACTAGTTCTTACATTGAGCAGCAGTGCAGAAAAGAAGAGGCCAGCAGCCACGTCTTTGGTCGACCGCACGGGGCAGCAGGAGAGGAACTGGCCGAGCAGCAGCAGGAGTGCCATAAGTAAGAAATCCAGTAGGCTTGTGAGACTCACATTGAGGAGCAGCGCGGATATGAAGAGCCCTGCAGCCACGTCCTTGGTGGAGCGCACGGGGCAGCAGGAGAGGAACTGGCCGAGCAGCAGCGAGACCAGTGCCCCGCGCAGGAACTTTAGTATGCATGTGAGAGTGACACTCACATTGAGGAGCAGTGCAGATATAAACAGCCCCGCAGCCACGTCCTTTGTCGACCGCACGGGGCAGCAGGAGAGGAACTGGCCGAGCAGCAGCGAGACGGGCGTCATGACGGGATGACGGAAGTCAGAGGAGGGGAAGATGAGCGCCCACAGACGGAGCAGGAGGAGTGTGCGCGCCGTGGGCCATGCTGGCTCTGGGAGGAGTGCAGCATAAGGTGGGAAGGATGGGCAGGAAAGAACATTATAGGGCGCCATGACGGGATGGTGGAAGTCAGAGGAAGGGAAGATGGGCGCCCACAGGCACAGGAGGAGGAGCGTGCGCGCCGTGGGCCATGCTGGCTCTGAGAGAGAAGCAGCACAAAGTGAGCAGGGGGAGCGGGGGGGGATGGTGGGGGAGGGCGGGGGGTGGGATGAGGAAGAGCATGGTGCCGAAAGTCCGACGGGGGAAGATTTGTGTTCAAAGGCGCAGCAGCACCAGCAGCAGCGTGCGCGCCGTGGGACATGCCGGTTCTGAGATAAGGGACAGAAATACGGATTATAACAACTGTAAGGGGGTGAGGGGAAACCACGTATTACCGTATACAGTGCCACACCGCACCGTACCTCCGGCCTTGAGTCGCGCCACAAGGCGTTTCTGCATGCGGGCGAGCCGTTCGCGGGCGCAGACGGCAGCAAAGAGCGGGAAGGACGCGGAGAGCTCCACGAGCGGCTGCACCAACGCGTTGATGTGCGCCGCTGCCACTGATGGCGCCCTCTTTTGCAGCTCACTCGTCGCCTCCTCCTCCTCCTCTTGCTCTTCACCTTCCTGTTTCCCCTCCTCCACCTTCCTCCCCCCTTGCGGCTTCACCTGCTGCCTGCTCCCTTGCTGTTTCTGCTGCTGCTCATGCAGTTGCTTCTGCTTCTTCCCCGGCTGATCCTCCTCCTCCACCCGCTGAGACACACCACCGCCACCACTATCACTAGCCAGCGACGCGAAGTACTGCAGGAGCACGTTATAAAAGATCTGCATCTTGCGCTTGTTGTCTGGGGACAGGTGCGCCGCGTTGCACGCGCGGATGCGCGCGATTGCCACGCCCACCTCTGCTGCTGCGCGCCCCTCTAGAAGCCGCTGCAGGTCTTTAAGCTGCTGTGGCGCCTCTATCACGTATGGCAGCTCGCGCCGTCGAAACACCCTCTCTATGCGCTCATTCTCCTCCTCTTCTTCCTCCTCGTCCTCCTCCTCCTCCTCATCTTCCTCCTCCTGCTCCTCCTGCTCTGCTGCTGCTGCTGCTGCCTTTCTCCCCTCCTGTTTCTGATTCTCCTGCACTTTCTCCTCCTCTGCTTCTTCCTCCTCATCACTTTCCTCCCCTTCTTCCCTCTCCTCTCCTTCCTCCTCCTCCTCACTCTCCTCCTCTCCTTGCTTCACCGCCCCATCCCTCACAGACCCTCGCTTACCCTTCACCCTCTCCACTCCAATCTCCTCGTCACTCTGCTCCCAATCCACGTCAGCTAAATTCTCCGCCTCATCCTCCTCCTCCTCCTCCTCCTCTTCCCCCTCACTCCCACTCTCATCCTCACTCTCCTCCTCCTTCTGACCCAACAGATCATAAACCCACCCCTTCTTCTCCTCCTCGTCCTCCTCATCTGCCTCTAACACAAAATTCTCCCCCAAATCGTCCCCAGAGATCTCCCGTTTGACCTTCTTCCTCTGCCGCCTCTTCCTCCCCTTCCCGCCCTCCTCCTCACTAGACCCATCCTCCCCTTCCTCTCCCTCCTCCTCGTCGTCACTAGGTTCCCCATCCATACGCCGCTTCCTTGCAGCCTGCGTATAAGGCGCGGGGAGGAAAGGGAACGAGAAGGCAACGAAAAGAGGTTGACTTTGGAGTCGACTCAGGAGACAAGGCATGAAGAGGGAGGACAAACACATCACACCAGGAAACGAACAGAGGTGAATTTTGAGTCAGCACGAGGTACGAGAGAAAAAGCAATCAAACACCATCTAAAACACAGACAATAAAATCTAACCTCAAGCTTCACCAGTCGCGCCCTCTCCGCCTCTGCCGCCTCCTCTGCTGTCTTGGTGCGCTCCCCGGGCTTGGCGCGGATGTCAAACACCATCTCCCTCGCCAACACGTCGTACTGCTTGTCGTCCATCTCCTGACGAAGATATGAGACAGGGGTGGGATAGGGGAGATGATACGGAGCAACAGGGCTTGGCGCGGATGTCAAACACCATCTCCCGTGCCAGCACGTCATACTACTCGTCCATCTCCTGAAGAAATCAGAACAGCGTGGGGGAGAGAGGAAGGGTGGTGGAGGGAGAGAATGGAGGGAGAGAGGGGAGGAAGCAAAGAGTGTCAGAGAGAGGAAATGTCAAACATAATCTCCTGCGCCAAAACGTCATACTGCTTGTCGTCCATCTCCTGATAAAAAAATGGGACAGCGTGGGGAAAGGGGAGAGGGGAGAGAAGAGCGGGGAAAGGAAAAAGGACAAGGCGCAGCAGAAGAGGGCTCGGAAGGAAAGTGGAGGAGAGAGGGTGTTGGATGTCAAACACCATCTCCCACGCCAGCAAGTCGTACTGCCTGTCGACCATCTCCTGGTGACCATGTGGGACAACGTGGGGAGAGGGGAGAGGATAATGAGCAACGAAAGAGGACACGCAAGGAGAGTGGAGGAAAGTGGAGGAGAGAGGGTGTTGGATGTCAAACACCATCTCCCACGCCAGCAAGTCGTACTGCCTGTCGACCATCTCCTGGTGACCATGTGGGACAACGTGGGGAGAGGAGAGAGGATAATGAGCAACGAAAGAGGACACGCAAGGAGAGTGGAGGGAGCGGATGTCAAACACAATCTCCCACGCCAGCAAGTCGTACTGCCTGTCGACCATCTCCTGAAGAAAACATGGGACAGCGTGGGGAGAGTGGAAAGGGGAGGAGAGGATTGGGATAAGCAGAAGGGAGGGTGGGGGACAGCAGAAACGGCAACAACAGCAGTGGAAACAGCAGCAGCGGTGATAAGAGCGTGCAGAGAGCATGGCAAAACGCACCTCTTCAGCCACGTCTGCAGCCAGCAGCGAGCTCCCAGCAACCGGCGCCTTAGCAGCACCGCCACCAGCCGTCCCAGCAGTAGCACCAACAGACGCAGCAGCAGGGGCAGCAGCAGCAGCAGCCTTCCCCTCTCCCCCTCCCGCCTTCTCCTTCCCCATCCCGCCCTTCCCGCCCTTGGGCGCGCGGGTGAGCGCGAGCAGCGCGTCAGACTGCGCGATCTGGCGGAAGTCGGCGTCGAGCTGCTCGCGGAGGTGCTCGTCCTCCTCCTTCTCCGCCTGCCGCTTCGCCTTGAACAGCTTGCTCTTCGCCATCACCTCCTCCATCACCTCCCTCTTTGTCTTCTGTCGCTCCTCTCGCCCTTCCCCCTGCTCTGTTGCTGCATCAAGCTGGAACAAAAACAGGAGAACCAGGGCATTGGGTTGGGTTGAGTGAAAGAAAAAACGAATATCTTCTCTCCTTCTCCGCCTGCCGCTTCGCCTTGAACAGATTGCTCTTCGCCATCACCTCCTCCATCACCTCCCGCTTTGTCTTCTGCCGCTCCTCTCCTCCCTCCTGCTCCTCCGCCCCTGCGTCAAGCTGGCCATGGAAAACAGAACACGGCGGAGAACAGGCATTGAGTTGGGTTGAGTGAAGGAGATAGTGCATTTCTTCGCCTTCTCCGCCTGCCGCCTCGCCTTGAACAGCTTGCTCTTCGCCATCACCTCCCTCTTCGCCTTCTGCCGTTCCTCTCTGCCCTCCTGCTCCTTCTCACTGAGAAGTTCTCAGTCTCCGCGTCAAGTTGAAAAAGAGAAAAGCATGCCGTTGGTTTGGGCAAAGGAATAGGACAAACAGCCATGGCGGGACACAAAACAGCCATACACAGAGTGAGTGAGTGAGAGTGAGAGATAGGGAGAGAGGGAGAGAGAGAGAGAGAGAGAGAGAGAGAGAGAGAGAGAGAGAGAGAGAGGGAGAGAGATGGCAGGCGCGAGAGGGGGAAGAAGGAGAGAGGGAGGGGAGGGAGGGAAACAGGTAATGGGGGATACGAACAAGGAACAGGGAGAGGTAAAGGGAGAGGGCGAGAGGGCGAGCGAGTAAGAGGGCGAGTGGAGGCTCACATGTGTGTCTGTGGCCGACTTGGCCTTGGGGACGAAGCCACCACCGAAATGATACTCGCTCACGATCTGACCGCCCACTGCACCCACACACACACACACACAGGCACGCATCACACAAGGGGAGGGGGAGATGGAGGCACATGGAACAAGCGGATGAGAAGCAGCACGCAGGCAGGAAAAGAAACGTGGCGGTCCTTGATTCGATCTGATCTGTCAATCTATCTCAAGAAACTTTGATTCCATGTGTCCATCTTATCGATTGCCCAGTGCACTTAGGCCCAACAAGGAGAGAAAGGCACACGAGGAAGATGGATGAGTTGTGAGAACCCAACTCGCACACTACAATCACCAACTCACGTGCTCCATCGTCGTCATCCTCATCCTCCCCAAAGCCAGACACGTCCGAGTCGTCAAAGTCGTCAATGTCTCGCCCGCCGTGCGTCAGACGCAAGTCGCCGTCCTCACTCGCAGCCGCCCGCCTGCTGCTGCGCCTCCCCGGGCCTCCTCCGCCTCCGTCGTCGTCCCCCCCGTCGTCGTCTTCGCTCTCGTCGTCGTTCCCGAGGGAGAACCGGTTCTTGCGACTCAGCTGGGCCTGGAGAGGAGGGAAACAAAGGAGAAACGGATGGGAAACAGATAACAAAACACTGACAACAGCAGATTCGCCTGTCGCAGTCGTCCCCGCGGGAAAACCGGTCCTTGCAACTCAGCTGGGCCAGCGGCCTGGGAAAACCAGCGAAGGAGAAACACATGAGAAGAGCGGGATTTAGAGAGCGTCCCAAAGCATCGGCAGTGGCCAAGTCCCATGTCGTTGTGGCGGAACGCAAAGTAGCGCAAGGACATGTCACAATCATGAATAGCATACCATGCCATGCCATGCCATAACATACCGTACCGTACCATGCCATGCCATGCCACGATGTACCATGCGTTCCTTCTAAAACCGCACGATTGCCTTCTCGACCTCGGAAATAGACTCGTCGCCCTCGGGAGGAGCAAAGAGCACAAGGTAGAGCGATGACATGACATACCGTACCACGCCGTGCCATACCGTACCATGCCATGCCACGTCACGACGTACCATGCGCTCCTTCTGGAACCGCACGATGGCCTTCTCGCCCTCGGGAATGGACTCGTCGCCCTCGCCGAACCTCCGATCCAGAAACAGGTTCGCCTTGCCGCGCTGCTGGAACTCCTGCAGCAGCGTCGCCTTCCTCTGATTGGCGGTTAGGGTGGGTTAGGGTGAATGCAAGCGGGGATGCAAATTCACGATGGACAATAAGTGAGCGGAAACAGAAGAGACAACTGATACAGAAACAGAGTCGCCTTGCCGCGAGTCTGAAACACCTGCAGCAACGTCCCCTTTCTGCGATGGTGGTTGGCGTAGGAATGCCAATGAGGATGCAAATGAGGATGGGTAAAATGTAGATAGGAAAACAGATAAATTCACCTTCCCGCGCTCCCGAAACACCTGCAGGCGCGTCGCATTCCTCTGATCATGGCTGGGGTAAGGGTTTGTGCAAGAGGATGGGGAAGACACCGCAGGATGAGGTGCAAGGATACTGCCGAACGGAAGCCGTCAGTGCAACGCAGAAGGGGGAGCCGTCAGTGCAGCGCGGAAGGGGGAGCCGTCAGTGCAGCGCGGAAGGGGAAGCCTCAGCGCAGCGCGGAACGGGGAATCGTCAGTGCAGCGCGGAACGGGGAATCGTCAGTGCAGCGCGGAACGGAAGCCGTCAGTGCAGTGTGGAACGGAAACCGCACGCGGAACAGAACTCGTCAGTGCAGCGTTGTAGAGACAGCCGTAAAAAAATGAACGAGAGAAAAAAGAACTTGACTAATTTCTACAAATTCTCATTACAAATTCTCAAGAATCTACGTATCTGGAACCGAGAGCCATCGCGCATTGCAGGAAAACAGAGCAAGGAAAGAGAGAGAGCGTGCGAAGCGACAAGAAGACGGAAAGAAAGGGTCACGGAGAGGGGAGAAGGTCGAAACCAGAGGCCGGAACGCGATAGAGAGAGAGAGAGAGAGAGAGAGAGAGAGAGAGAGAGAGAGAGAGAGAGAGAGAGAGAGAGAGAGAGAGAGAGAGAGAGAGAGAGAGGGCCTAACAGAGCTGGTGCTTTCGCCTACGCTATGGATACAGCCGTTGCGCCGCTCTAAGGATCATCTCCATAAACAAAGGAACCTTTTCTTGAGGCAAAACATAAAAAACACGGCGACAAAAACGTGAAGACAAATAAGTGAAAGCATCTCGGCCGAGCTAAGTCTGCAGCACAGGATTATCAGAGAAGGGCGAGCAACGACCGTTCTTAATACTGCCTCTTACACTCCCCAACGCAAAGCTTCTCAACCGCACAACTCCAAATTCGACGACTCAACAGTCGTTAAATTCCCTAGGACTAACCTTTTCCACGGCAGCGCTCCTGGCCTTGCCGATGGACTTGGCGCGAACATCGCCCTTGACCTTGCGACCCAGAATGTCGAACTTGCGACGGTTCCACAGCTGCTCGAACACGTTCACCAGCCGGCCCGACACGCCTCCAGGCTTGCCGCTTCTAGACAGCCCGGCAGCAGCGCCGGTGGGATCCGAAGACCCCACGCCGGAGCTCCTCCTGTTCTTAGCCATTTCTGGACGGACCTGGACGGACGTAGACGGACCTGAACTAAGCCTCGAGATGAGACGCTAGTTCTGACGCGACTGCGCTACTACCCTCGCGACTCTAAACTCAGGGCTGAGCCGACGCCCTAAAACGGCACTAGCTAAAGCCATGGTGACATCTCGGGGCGAGCTCTAGGCAAGCCCCAGTGCAGGAGAGCGTCAGAAGAAAGCAGCTGCTGCACGTAACCTCAACACTAACAATAAACCTCCTCAGTTCGGAAATACCAATAAATCCGACACCTTCTAGCTGCTTTTGCTCCCGTATGAACGACTCACCCAGCCGTAACTCTGACAAACCTCGGGGTTTGTTCTCCTTGGGATTGGTTGGGAGGGGAAACCGGCTGGTGGGGCTAGGGTTTCGCCACAGCCCTCCTCCCCTTCATTCCTCCTCTCCCCTCTCTCCTCTCCCCTCTCCCCTCTCCCTTCTCCCTTCTCCCCTCTCCCCCCCTCTCCAGTTGCGTTTACTCATTCCGTTCCGTTACCCACAGTTGAACTTCTTTCTGTCTGTTTCACGACGACTTTCCCGTCCATACAGCTGACACTCAGCCGGCTTCCGTCGGACTTCGCGCATCCATCCATCCACCCATCCATACATACATACAGCTGATTCTCGATTGCATGTCCCATACTTTCCTCACCAATTGGCGTTTCGAGTGTTTATTGCATTTCGCAAGAGTCACAAGTTGACAGTTGACATCGGTCTCTTCGTTGACAGTTTGACGTTGGTCTTCTTCGTTACCACAGGTGTATCATCTATGCAACTTGCTCGGGGGGCTTGTAAACTGGGTGCAACTTCTCGGCACCAATTGTTCGTGGGCGAGGAGTCTCAAACGAAACAAATTCGCGCGCAGCAGCTGAGCATCAGCTGTACAGTACAACTTGTTTGTCGCCGCACTGTATTAGCAGACTGCCCGACCACGGATGGTTTCGCCTTGGGACGGGACTGATCAGCACCTGGCGAAAGAATCGCAAACTAAGGGCTGATGCCGTCAGTGCTCTCACGAGTCGCACGGTCACGCGCGAGATGACAGGTTATTGGGTGGTCGCAGATTCAAGCTTCTGATTGGCTTCCCCTTCATACCATGCGAACCATCCCATCGCGTGGTTGGTGCAGAAGAGCTCGCAAGGGGATGCCAGACGCAGTCAAGCATCTGCACAGAAATTGCAGTAATAAACAAAGGGTAAGTAGCTATGGAGGGAGTACAACAAGCAAAACTTTGCTTTCGAGATAACTTTATCGCTAGTTGATAACACTTTTTTTTTAATAACGCCCCTCAGAAAGGAAACTTATTGCGAAAACTCCAGAATTTGCTCCGAATAAACCCACGTGTCACAAATGCAAGAGATGTCAAAATTTCGGGGCAAACAAAAAATAAAACTCCTAGGGACCTGGACCCATTTTCGGGAAGGATCAACCCTAAACACGGGAAAATAGCATTTTAAGGGTTGATGCCTCCCCGAGTCGCATCCCTTTCCGATTGGGTTTTAGTTTGTTTGGGTCAGGTGGGGTGCAAAACATTTTCTAATGCTGCGAAACTGTGACACGTGGATGAACATGGAGCGGATTCCTGAGTTATATCAATATCTCTCCTGTCTGAAAGTAGGAAGAGCGGAAAGTGTCCCCAAGTAGGAGTGAAGCTCCCGTCAAAGAGCAGGGTCCCCGGTAATGTTCCCTTCATATCTGAAAACCCATAAACAAACACTTCAAGAGAAGTTTTACTTCACCACATAAGCAGAAGCCTTACCTTCAAGATATGCCTTCTGCAATAACATAAGCAGAGTCTGAAATTCGAGTGTTACAATCAAGCTAAACAAAAAAACTCCACAAACCCAACTAAAGCACGAGTGTTACAATCTCTTGCAGTCCATCGATACCAAGAATGTACATGCCTTTGTTTGTGTCAAAATATTATAATGCTTCTATTGTGTAGGCTGTAGTGGGGTAGCTCATAAGAGGTACAACCCAATTACAGTTACTACTTGTACCAATTTTCTATTCAATGCATTCATTCTCGTTTAGTATTCTGACATGGTTTCAGAGCATGTCCTATTCCAGGACCGTTTTTTTTTAGGGCCCACCAAATAGCGTTGCCCCACTAGTCACGTCGCCATCCCCTGCATGTCGCGTCGCCCTGCTGGCTGTCGCGTCGCCCTGCCCTGTCAGTCGCGTCACCTTGCTGTCCGTCGCGTCGCCCTGCTGCCCGCTCGCCGCATTGCAAGTAGCCGCGCCGCCCTGCCCTGCCTGCGCGGCGCCCTGCCCTGCCCGCGCTGAGCCGCCCTGCTGTCCGCACAGCCCTGCTGCGCGCCGCTATGCTGCTACCCGCCCTGCTGCGCGCAGCCCTGCTGGTCGGCGCCCTGCTGCCCACGCGCCGCCCTGCTGGCAGCCGCACCGCCCTGCCCTGCCCACGCGCTGCCGCCCTGCCCTGCCCACGCGCCGCCGCCCTGCTGGCCGCCGCCCTGCCCTGCCCTGGCCGCGCGCCGCTCTTCCCTAGCCGTGCGCCGCCTCTCCCTGCTCTGCGCACTTCCCTAGTGCTTGCGCGCCCGCAGTGCCTGCGTCATGCCCTGCTGGTCGCGCGTTACCCTGCTCTGCCCGCTATGGCTTCTCTCAGTGTACTCACCTTCGATCATGAGGGCCGTCCGATCCAGTTCGATACGTGGCTCGACGACTTAAAGCTGTACCTACTGAGCGATTCTAGAGACAGCGTTTCGTTGTTTGACCACACGTTTGGAGCCTCTCTCGCCCCTCCCGCCACAGCTAATAGTGCGACTCGCTCACAGTGGCTTACCCGTGACGCGGCTGCTCGCTTAGCCGTTCGCTTAGCCGTTCGCAACCACTAGCCGTTAGCCGAACACGCTCACTTTGGCCAGCACAAGACTGCTAAGGCCCTGTACGACGATGTAGTCGCTCGTTACTCTTCCCCTGCCACTGCTGCTCTCGGCCGCCGTATACTGCCCTACATGTTTCCCGAGCTATCAGCCTTTGCCACAGTCGAGGACCTCGTTACACACCTTCGCACTAGCGACACTCGCTACCGCGTTGCCCTCCCAGCCGAATGCCTAGACAGGAACCCCACCCCCCCCTCCGATATACATCACTCTCTACTTCATAGTCACCCGCCTCCCTGAATCTCTTCGCGCAGTCAGGGACCACTTGACCCCACAGACCTCACTATCGACCTACTCGAGATGCACCTCATTCAATCTAAGACTAGCGTAGTCGCTGTAGGTGCTGCTCGTGGCACTCCTCGCACACCCTTCTTTGAGGGGTGTCCCCCCTCCCCCCTTGCCACCTCCTACGCTTCTGCTGCTGCTATTGACATCCTTGGTACTGAGGATGTCGGGACTGCTTCTGCTCTTAGTGGGAAGCGCCGCAGCAGCAAGGGCAAGGGTAGCAAGAGTGGTGGCGGTGGCAGCGGGGGTGGTGGTGGTGGAGGAAGTGGAGGCGGTGGAGGTGGCGGAGGTGGTGGCAGCGGTAGGAGTGGTGGCGGGAGTGGGGGCTTTGGTGGTGGCGATGGTGGCAGCGGTGGGGGTGGGGGTGGCGGTGGTGGCGGCAATGGGAGTGGTGGAGGCGGCAGTGGTGGCGGTCGGGGTGGAGCTTCTCGGAAGGGAGGTTCTGGCGGTGGCCAAAGGCAGCACCACCAACGTCGGAGCGAGACCCCGTCACCTCAGCAGCTTCGTGAGTGGTTTGCTCAGCGTGGGGCGTCTGGGGGTAGTGTTCGCTGCCCGTATGTCATTCGCACAGGTGACCGCGCTAGTCAGACATGCGGGAAGTTTCACACACAGCACCGCTGCTTCTCCCGCCTTGACGACGCTTGGCGCGCAGAGTTTGGCGACGAGGCTAAGCGTCCCAGCTGGCCAAAGTTGCTTAGCTCTGGAGTTGATATCTTTGCTCTTGACTATGATGCTATCCTTGCTGCCATGTATGCCTTGTCTGTTAGTGCCGAGGGTGATTGTTACCTGTGTCTGCCGCCCAACCCAGGTATAGAGGCTGCTGCTCTAGGTGCTAATGAGTTTGTTCTCCTTGGTACTGCGCTTGCTGAGGCCTTGCACACCTTCATACTTGACTCAGGTGCTTCCCGCTGTTTCTTTCGTGACAGTACCACCCTCACTCCACTCCCTGCACCTGTTCCAGTCAGACTGGCTGACCCTTCAGGGGGCCCAGTACTTGCCCGTTCCTCCACTGTTCTCCCGTGTTCGGCGGTTCCGTCCGGCTCATTGTCAGGTCTTCACCTCCCCTTGTTCTCTACGAACTTGGTGAGTACCGCTGCCCTCCAGGATGCGATGGTCACTATCACCACTCCTGGGGGTCAGCGAGTGTCGATATGCATGTGTACACGGACGTGCCGTCACCTGGCCACGTTCACCCATCGGCCTAGGTCGAGTCTGTACACACTGACTACTAAGCCTCCTTAGGTAGTTGCGTCTGCTCACGTGTTCGCGTCAGGTCCGGTAGCACCCCCCTGCTTGTGTCGCCTCCTGTCGCACCAGACTCTCCTTTGGCACCACCGCCTTGGTCACCCCTCCCTGCCACGCCTTCGTGGCATGCACTCCCGCCTCCTTGTTTCTGGTCTTCCCAGGTCTCTGCCTCCCCTCCCGGCCTTGCCTGCCCCGCCCTGCCTTCCTTGCGTCGACGTGCGGCAGCGCGCCGCTCCTCACTCCTCCACGTTTCCCCCGACGACTGCTCCCCTGCAGACTCTCCACATGGACGTGTGGGGCCAAGCCTGCTTCAGTAGACAGGACCGCTGTCAGATTTATATGACATAGCTACTGTAGGCTATAGTGGGGTAGCACATATGGGGTACAGTTTTCTAGGGTTTACATTTGTACCCAACTTTCCCTTAGTCAATTCATTCTCGTTTCTATTCTCACATGGTATCGAGCAGGTTCCCTCGTGGGAACTGTTCCTAGGGCCCACCAATTCGACATTTTTTTTCTGCCCGGAGCGCGCTCAGTCCTAGCCCGAGTCG